CCTGATTGTTTTATTGGTTTTTAAGTGGCAAATGTGTACTTACCCAGTAGTGTATTGGGCTCTATCTAAACTAGCCCGAAATTGGCGTTTACAGTTGGGGACCACAACTTTGAAAATATGGTTCATATAAATTTGACAAAAGTTTTGCGATTTTTGAGTTCTGCTTTGCTGCAGGTCATGCAGGTCTCCTCGGCCTATGAAATTAAATCTATCATACAACTTTTACCAAGATAAGGCTTGTGATTTCTAACAGATTTTGGTACGCCGAATTCGTGTTCTTAACTTAGAATTGCTCTGAAACTTTTTTTTTTTTTAAATAATATCCTAACCTAAACTTGCGAAAAGGGGGGTTTGGCCTATTTTTGAGGTTACTCGAACATTTAAAAGTATATCGCTTACTTCTTCAGTACATTTCTGAACTGTCAGTATACATATGTATGTATGTATTAGAATTGTTTTTAATTACCTTGTCTTAACTGCATTCCCGTCTAGAAGAAAACTACAGTAGAAAGTATTTCTTTAAATCTGGCGTTGGAGGTATGTACTCCAGTTGCTCTCCTGATTCTAAATGCTTGGCAAAAATACCATTATTTCCGAGTTTCTTCGGCCTTCAACAGCCTGACCCTTTGAGTCTTACTCCAGATGCGCTGTTACTTATTTCGCGTATTTGCAGTTCTATGGGCAGTTGATGCAGAAACATATTAAGCGCTTCCATGGGACACTATTTAGATAATTACTCTTATAGGCCCTGCATAAATAATATGCTTTTTGAATGCTGCATAATTTTCTAAACCCCCCTCTGCTTATCCAGTGCTGGCCACTGTTTTTGGAGGCCCTTAGTTTATAATAAGATCACAAGTGGAGAGATATTCAATAACGTTAATACGACAAAGGTTAACTGAAAAATTTTAAGAGCATATCAACGGTCTTCCTTCCTTTATAGTTTTCTTCTAACCCTGCCGCCTAAATTGGAACTAAAAAAAAAATAGAAACGTTGTTTTATGAACTTCAGTTGAAGTTAAATTTCGGATGTCTGATTTTTTGAACTCGAACTGGACTGAAACCGCTTGCTTATGGTATAATTCTTAGTTTCATTCAAGAGCAAGGCTTTGAATTTCTTTTTTACTTTCAAAAACTATCAAATTGATTATCGATTGCGCAGCAGTTTGGAAATTGCCATATAAAAGTGAATATCAAACTAATGCTTTTACAAGGCTACCCCAATTTTTACTGTCGGGTTCAATAAGCGAAGGAAGTCACATAAATACATCAGCACATAAATGTTTTCTGAGTATGTATGTATGTAGCAAGGAGGACTTCCTTAAGTAAAATAAACAATACCTAAGCGCTATGGTGTTGTGCTCATAACGGTTTTTAATATTGAGCAAAAGCAAACAGCCAGTATGGGAATGGATGTAAATAAAAGCTACAAACATAAACGAAAAATATTTAGTTCACTGCTAAATAAGTAGAAAATAAGTAAACAAAAAATCGTTTCAAAATTTGTCCTAATAACGTGTATTTTGGATACCAAGTTACTTTGTCTCTGTTACTTATTTTCTACTTTTGTAGATGAGATACGAAATTTAATACGAAAGTACGAAGTAAAAAACAATGTTGAATTTTTTTCGTGCGTACTTCTTATGTGCCTTGTCGGCCTTTTTTGTATAACAAAAAGACAATCAATCCTCTCACGTTGGAATTTTAGCCGTCAAAATGTCCCAAAACAGCTGATGAACTCTTCGTCAGGGTTTAATTTTCGCAATTCATATTAATTTAAAATATAAAATTAGATATAAAAACCCATACTTATAAACCCAAGATTAACAATTTGTAGAAAACTACAAAAAAGTGCAACGAATTTTCACCTAAATTTCAAACTTTTTTCTCGGAAGTGTTAGAATTTTTCTGAATACACAGTTTTATAGCCCAATCAATTTTAGTCACTTGAAATTTGCACATTATCAGACTAAAATTGCAGGGTCTAAAAAACAGTGTACTCAACTTCTAGCACTTCCGACAAAAAAGTTTGAAATTTAGGTTAAAATGTGTTGCACTTTTTTGTAGTTTTCTACAAATTGTTAAACTTGGGTATATATGGGGGATGTCTGAGAATGAACTATATTTTAATTGAAAATTCTTAAAAATTAATAAATAAACAAATAGGCACACAATATCAGTTTGAAATTAGTTTAAAAAATTTTATTAAAAAAAATCAGTGCAATGTAGGATAAAGAAAATAATCTGTAGAACTATAACAGAATAGATTTTTTGGAGCATAAGGACGAATAGGTATGGAAAATTTCCTTTACAAATTTTGTTTTTAAGTATCCTTGAAAATTTGCAATATTTATTCTTGAAAAATTACTGTTTGAGGACTAATATACACACGACCTCATCATCGAATTCGGTTCTATTTACAAACTTTATCAACTTAAAAAGATAAAATGTATTAAAAGCACATTTTCAATACCTATTCGTCCTTGTAAACCAAAAATTTATTGTTTTTAAATTCTACAGAATTTTCTCATCTCTCATTTGGTACCCATATTGTTATTCTACGTTGCACTGATTTGTTTAAATAATTTTTTGAATTAATCATATAATTAATTTCAAAGTCCTTTGAAAAAAAATCCTGACGTCAGAGTGAAAAACTAAAAGCGCAGTTTTACTCTACTTGGCCCATAGTTTCGTGAGTATATCGATTCTTTCGTTTGTTTTGGAATTTTTTTGTTTTTGTCGCTCGGTGTTATAGAAGTTCTAAAAGACTAACATGTTTCTTATGCACATTCCCCAAATGCTCATCATGTACTCAAATGCATAATAAATAATATCTAAAAGTTTTTAGCTAGCAGGTGAGGTAGAGGTTAGAATTAAATTATTTTTTTTTGTTTTGTGATTTTGAAGAGATATTCGATGTTTTTCAAGTGTTATTTTACATACAAACGTACATATATACTTAGTGTAAAGATTATGATATAATCTCTTTCTTATTGCCCTACAGATGTACATACATATGTGCATCCTTTTTTTTTGTTTATAGTCTCCATTTGTCGCTCTGCATCGATTGTGTGATAAGCATGTAATTTCCTTACTTTGCTCATCACTATCTTCATACACATTCAATGAATTTTAATTAATATTTCACATATCCATGTCTTTGTTGTTTTGTTTTTAGTCTTTATGGCGTTTTGATACACACTTATGGTATAGTAAATATGTACATAATGACTTATGTATGTATACAATGCCACCACGCTCGGTTTGCTTTTGACGCTTCCCTGTCGGAATAAAACAATTACTTAGTTTCGAAAATTAAACCGTTGGAAAAGTTGCCGGAAAGAACTTACTTTGAAAAGATGCATCATTTCGACCAGTGATTTTGAAGTTTTTTTAAGCCAAACCGACGTCTCCAAACCATATCCATACCGTAGTACCATAGTACCATAGTACCATAGTAGTTGATTTTCCGACATGGTTTTAACAACAAAAAACATGTGTATGACATACTTACATAAGTACAAACCTACTTCGCAATTAATAAATACATTTGTGTAATCAATAAAAAATGCGAAATAGTTTAAAATGGCTCGTATCGTTATTGCTGTTGTTATACCACTTAGTGTTGGTGCACTTAAGTAAATATACGACTTTGTACTACATGTTTGCATATTTCATAGCATTATCAGACAACGGCGTCCTTTGATAACATTTTTTCTTCACAAAACAAAAGAGGGGCGAACATTATCCGCTTTATCGAAAATTGCTCGGGATTAACAATGAAATTATATATTTATGTGCGATCTTCTTTGGGAATTCAAATATTATGTTCATCTATATGAGCCGCTAATTTCGAAAGTGGCATAAGTTAATTCGTACCTCTTGTGCTTAAATGACCGGCTATGTGTAACCGAATGCATCTGTAAATCATCATAAACTAACGACAAAACCTTCTACATTTGAATGATGAAGTTGAATGAATAACCGACGCGTTCAGATACAAGTAACCGGTGATTTAAACACAAGAAGTATGAAGTGACTTATGCCACTTTCAAAATAAACGACTCATATATTAATACGCTAACATAAATTTTGTCACCGTTAGTTTTTTGAAAATATTTTTTTAAGAGGGCTGCCACCTTTTTAAAATTGAAATTCAATTTAATGAATTATTACAATATGGATGTCAAACGAAAGATGCTCAAGAAATCAGTTTTGAAGTGTGTTTAAAAAAAGTAAATTGAATTTAGGTGAACATTTGCAAAATCTTTCGTCTTTCGGCCCTATTGCGTATTTCAGTTGAGAAAAATATTTCCAAAAATTATAAAGCAAAATAAAAACCATGTTTCCCAATTTGATTTTGGTTTGGTTGTTAAATTACGAAACTAAATGAAATACGTACGTACAGTATCGGTCATATCATTAGCACACCGATTTTAAAGTGATATTGTTTGCCACTTATGTACGTTTATTTATTTATTTTTAAGAATTTTCAATTAAAATACAGTTAATTCTCTAAAAAGTTTTACACTTGGGTTTATATGAACTGCATTTTAAATGAAAAGTCTTAAAAGTAAATAAATAAACATAAGTGGCAAACAATTCTACTTTGAACTGGGGGTACTAATGATATGACTGATACTGTATGTATGTACATACGTATAACAATGATATATTGGTATTTAACAAGAAGGTTTAGTATATGGTTTTATTCTGGCACATTTTCGGAAGGAATTGACATTTATAAAAATTATGCTAAAAATTGATATATGCATGTAGCGGAGCTGTGGGCAAAAGCTTTTCATAATTTCGAGTTGAAATTTGTGAATCTAGTGCGTCTTTCTTGCTGAGTTTGACAAATTATGATGGTAACTCAAATGTATTACTTTCAATTATGTTTTTGTAAGAATATTTCATATAACTCTTCTTACTATTTTATAAAATACATCCGTATTTCAATAAAAAAAAAAATTTCCCTGTTTTTATCTTTCTCCAAACAGGCACGCATAGCCATGTTATTGGGCGAACGAAAATGTCTCGAAAGCCTCAAATCAGATTTAACACGACGCATTAAAATGTTGGAGTACGCCTTGCGGCAGGAGCGTGCCAAATTCTATCGACTCAAATATGGTACCGATCCGCCACAATTGAACGAATTGAAACCGCCAACAGATGATGCTGGTCTCGGTAGCGAAGTGGCGCCCGATTCCGAAGTACCATACAGTTCAGTATCGAATACAACCTGGCGACAGGGCAGACAAATGCTGCGACAATATTTGGCCGAAATCGGTTACACAGACAACATAATCGATGTGCGTTCGAATCGGGTGCGCTCCATACTTGGTCTCAATAATAACTCCGAACAGGAGGAGAATGTCAGTCCCAATATAAATGGCAATGAGAATAATAAACGTGCTGCAGAATCAGAGGGTTAGTAATTGAAATT